TCAGTACACCGCAGCAAGTTGTACTATCAAAGTATGAGCAAAATACTAGAAAAAACCTTCTGAAGTGAAGTGTCATCCAACTGGATTCCGATCGCCCATATGGGATTCGGACACTTTATAATAATTGATTTGGGTATACGCTATCATTAGTGGCTCAAATTATCAAGCAGTATTTTATGGGACGATAAATCACTAAGCAGAATAATAGAAAACAAATTATGTATCAAAAGGAGACCATTATATACATTAGCAAAACTAAAGACGATTCTGGTGGTCGAAAAATCACTGAAAGTTCCTTAGATATGTTATTATTATAATTGACGCTCTAAAGTTTTAATAGTAACTGTCATTAATTTACAATATTTACATACCGACGTATTTGTTCTTTACCTAATACTTATTCGTTTTTATTGGTCCTTGGTTGCTGCTGGCTTCAGTAATGTTTATAATCCCATGTACTAAAAATTTTTCCTTTTATTGGAAAGTATTCATTCCACTTTTACAATCAACTGAAAATTTTCCAGATACACATCTATGTTACTCTATTAATATTATATAAAATTGTCTTGTTACTGTACCTCGTCTACGTGTTTGGCAGATTACACAGGTCTACGAATTTTTTTTTTTTAAGTTTTTTTCTTAAATTGTGAATAATTGTCGTAATTGTCTTAGAAGTAATAGGAAACGATATTCATTTATTAACCCATAAACGCTCAGAGGTCACGATTTCCATTTGAACCCTTGTCACGTAATGAGTGCTAAAAGAAAAAATATTCGATAACCAGTGTTTCTATATTTTTAACGATGCTCTTTTCGATGGTGTTGGTTAAAAATATCTCCTACAATATTAAAACAACAATTTTTGAATTGACTTTTTTCATATCTTGCAGTTTTAAAGTTCGAGAATCATTCGTAAGGTTATAAATTTCATCACTGCTTGACAAATCATTATCATCAATATATTCTGAATTTTGTGATAAATGCATATCAGAGCTCTTAGTTTTAGTAGAAACTGGTAGGGGTAATTCGGGTCCATGTGAAACTGGCTTTCTTATAGACAAAACATCAGGATATATAATTTTGGCATGGTTTTTAGAATTATATTCTGTTACATTTGTCGAACAAAAATAACAATCATTAGTATGATCCCAAAAAGGCCAGCTTCTCTTTATCTTATTTTCTCAGTAGAAGTACTCACAGGCAAGTCCTTAGACAAATTAATTTGAGTTGTAATCTCTGAGCCTGTGAGTCGTCGATCTCGTTTGCTGATCAATACAGTACGCCTAACTTCAGCAATTGTGTTTTTTCATATATATATATAGTCATATATTGAAACATAGTGAATGGTTTAAGCGGTGAGCAAAAACTTTTGACTGGTAGTGTACATACATCTTTGAAATTACTGACTTTTCATAACCACAAAGAGATTAATTGTCTAATTAAAATTTCATTGAACTGTTGTAGTTTCTAACATTTCTTTTTAACATTCAGGTCTGTTAAAACAGGATAGTGCTGCCAGTCAAGGTATATCATCTGCTGTCTATTACAATTTCTAATGTTATGCAGCAATAACTGTTCAGACATTTTCAACAGGAAATTATTATTTTAGGTTTGGAATTAGCTACTCCAGTATTGGAAGAAGGCAATCCCTTTGATAAGGCGAAGCCTCAACAACATCTGTTGCAAATGAGTAGTTCTTGGCTGTTAGCTGGAGCTTTACCTCCGTTATATTCACGTCCTCAAAAGGCTCACTCTCCAAACAGTAGCGGAGTAGGTGAGAGAATGTTTTATTTTGTCATTGTTTTATAAAATGAAATACGGTAGTGGCACCAAAAGTGGACATTTGTAGTTTTCAAAGAGAATGTTGTTTACGAACGAATGTTATTTGAGTACATAATAATAGTCAGTATTGCTAAATTAGTAAAATAAATTACAGCTACAAAAAAAACACTACGTACCTTCCTGAGTTGGTTCTATTTTTTTCTGTTGCAATTACTTATGTCTTCTTTTTCAATATGAAATCAAACAAAACATTCTGGACATACTACAGATTTCGAAGGTCAACTCGCACACCTTTCCTAATTTTTTTATTTTTTACGGTGTGTACATCGTTTTTGATTTGTTTTTTTTTTTTGCTGAAGTTCAACAAATTCTTTTCAGAATACTTGTTGTACAGTATGTTTGCATTCAGTAAGATCTGCTGTAGAATATGCAAAGCAAACTTCTTGTGCCATCTTGCGTTTGTAGATCACCCTAACTTTGCTCATATTCTGGTTATATTTAACACAAGGAAGGGTTTTATTCTTGTATCACGTGTTTTTGTCTGCGTACTCGAAAATCTCATTTTTAAATTCTGTTAAAGAATAAAGAATGTGGCGTCTCTTCGCTACTAAAATGCCGTTATGGTGTACAATTTCTCCGTTTCCCAACTTTGCATTTTCTTCTTTATTTTGACTCATGATCTTGTACAATAAGATTTTAAATACTCGCGAAAATCAAATCGGTCAGAGTTGGAGTTTGCACTGTGTGGATGACGATTCCCGTTTTTCCTCTTACACACTAACTTCTCGTAATCGTGGGAACACCTAATTCAACCTTCCGACCCTTAGGGAAAGCAGCAAGATTAAAGGCTCATTACTCGTCTAGTTTTCACGTACATACTTGCTCATCAGTGGACGACCTTTGCAGGTCGATTGAGTGCCTCATAATGGAGGAGGACTCTTCCCCCGAAGGGTTGGAATTCTCCTACATATGAGAAGCGACAGGATCAGGTAAGTCATGGTCATCAACACCACACGTTATTGACACCTTGCCAGATTCAATGTGAGTGCTCGCAGGGTCGCTTATAGAGGTGGTATCTAATCGTACTCGCGTAGCAGGAGGAGAAGGTGACGATCAAGAAGGTCGTCTCCTTTTGGAGCGCTCAAAAGGACTAATAGCCCGCTCTGGGAAGAGACCTTCCGTCGGTGAAGAGGCGGTTGGGCTGCAATAGGACATAGTTTTGCCAGTTTGCTTCTAAGAAGTGCACTTTGCGATGGCATTTAGGTAGAGACGGCCAAGGGAACAGAATCGCTTCTTTAGGGATGCGCATGGGGTGTTGCCGCGGAAGAAACTTGTGTACAAGACAATGCCCGGTAGGTTTCGATGGACGATGATGATGTTGCCTTTTACTAGAAGTGCTTGGACCAGTAGAAAAGGGCTTACTCTTGTAATGGGTTTCGAGCGCCTTCACTACAAGGTCCTTTGCGTAATCTAAGTAGGCTTTATACATTGCTTTTTCCCGTCCGTATCGCAACCGGTGCTCAGTCAGCAGACCCGTAGCTAAAATCGCCTGTTTGAATGAAAACCCCTTCAGGGATTGAGCCTCGACCTGGGCAGTCAAGGAAAGTAGGTTGATTTCCGGAAGGGGGAGTTTAGATTCAATTTCCTCCTTGTACTGGGCAGGATGAGCTCGTCGCTCGTGTTGGCACACGGCAGGAAAAGAGGGGACTAACACCACAAAACTGGCAGCGTTCTCGATCTCTTGTTCCGCATTCTCTCAGGTGTCCTTCTAAAGAATACTTTAGTGGGTAAGATTTCCCACACCTAACGCAGACAAAAGCCTGCGTAGCTTCGCGAGAGACGGAACTTGAGTAGGTGCTCTGGTCTTGGGACTTGGTCCCTGAAGCGAATGAAACTCTTTTGGCAGAGGCCTGGGAGACCGGCCTAGATGTTCGGCCCGGTGAGTTCTATTAAAATTTGATTGGTATTGACATCCTGAAAATGTAAGCTGTTTTTTTTTAATAACGATGAATTAAAAGCTATTTGGTCTGTTATTGGAAATTTTATGTAGTAACCTGTTTGAACTGTATTAATAACGTAGTCACTATCAAAGTTTAACAGCAACCGTCTTGTTTCAATGTGAAGTTTCCGCAGAGGCCAAAATGTCGTCATTGAAGACGCTTCTTTTTGTGACACAAATTTTGTAATTTTTATTTCACGAATGTTGTGCATTCGTTTGAATTTTTTCACCCACCGATCTGACGCTTTAAATTGAAAATCAGGGAACTGACTAGCAGCGACTAAAGCTCATTGTTGTAAATTTCTTGTAGTTACTTGTTTGTAATTGACAAAATGATGATACGTCCATGAATCAATGATGTAATACTTATCAAAAGTAGTTCCACCACTCTCAACATCTTTTTCTCATAATTTTATATGGTCCATTCTTTTTAACTTACTACATCCATTTTTTTGTAATGTCTGTAGTTTTCACATAGGGTGGGCTTTCGATATTTTTATTTCGATAACATTTATTTTATATTCCAATGAGATGTACTCTTTTAATTTATGTTTCTTCTCTGGTTCGTAGTCATCAGATGAGTCACGTTCAATATGTTCGAATTTTGCTTCTGTACACTCTTGTTGGGAATGAATCAATTCTTCATCGGTAATAAACTTCATTTCATTTAATACATCGAATGTATTACTGTACAATTCAGCACCTAACAACATGGCATCTTCAGATAGCGTGTTGGAGGATGTGTTTGCAATTAAATTATTTTCGAGAAGCAAATTTTCATAATCTATTCCATCTTTCAACCGTTGTTTGGATGTATCGCTGAATAAAGAAGTATCGGGAGTTTTCTCATCACTGTGTGAAGAACTAGCTTCACTTGAAATAACTTTTCAAGATACACTACACAAACACGTCTGTAGCTGTTGAAATTCACAAACGAACCATAGACAGAGAGACAGACCTCTATTAAATCATTAAATGAACCATTTTGTTAAATTAGTTTATGAGAAGATCATAAAATGTAAACATAATACCGAATTAATGTACTCTTTTTATTCTCTATTTGTTAAAGATTATTTTTATTAATATTTTTTTTATATGTTTTTCCACTGATAAAAGTATATCCACTATGAGAGCTATGTCCATTATTGGTTTCTTTACCTATGATGTTTATACATATACGTTTGTAGTTTGAGATTTATACGTTATCGATGATTTCTAGGTTTAAGTAGCCAAACATTTTTCAACAAGTTTATTAGTGCAGTACCATCTCATTGGATCCTTCTATACGACTCTAACGAGATGGGATTGGGGTTAAACAGATTTTTACATCATGTGATGGGGTATAAGGGACCGACACTTATTCTCATTAAAATAGAAAACGATACGAAATTCTGTGTAGCTTGTCCAAATGAATGGAAGGAGTCACATCAATATTGGGGTGGTGAAGAATCGGCTCTGTTCCAAATTTTTCCTAAGTAATTTACATTTTTGTATTGAACTTATTGAGTTTTAAAGACGAAGTCATCAAAGATTAATTTGCCTTTACATTTAGATTCCTTCTGTTGGACAAAGGAGCGAAGATGTTGTACTTAAATACCACGGTGCGTGGTTATCCTCAAGGACTGAGAGTTGGAAGAGATCCCAGAAGCCCTGTTATTTCGGTGAATGTTGGCTTTGAGAAAGTAAGTTAACATTAACTACATGTAACATTTATGTATATCACTTGAAACAAAAACCATTAAACAAAATGAATAATATGAACAATACCGGGAGTGTTGTCATCTAAATCGTCTATAATACTTTTTGGTGCCCCCCAAGAAACTTCAAATTCAATGAGACTTTCCGAAGAAGCAAAGCTTTTATTCCATACAACCTTTCTTTGTTTAGTTGACACACTTTCCACTAGTTGTTTAAGTTGTTGTTGTAGCACATTTAGTGGAATATATGATTCGCTTTCAGTATCAGAAAGTTCCATTTCTATTGATACATTTTCTCGTCCACAAAGAGTACATTTTCATCTGTATCTTCACTAACAACGGATTCCTGATCGTATGGTAAACTTTCATATTCTTCATCTGCATTTATCTCATCCAAAAGTTCATTATCTGACAACCCTTTTAATCTTATTTGACTAAAATGTACGTCTTTTTGAGTAAGCATGATGAATAAATCTCTTAAGATAATGACACCAATGAGGGCGGTGGTATAAATTTGGTACTGTCACGTATATAAGAATAATTACTATAAAAATATAAATTTTTAAATTGCTACATACAAAAAGCAACTTTTACTAGTATTTGGATTGGAAATTTGGCACTATACAAAAAAGTTTACTTAAAATAACTTGCAAACAAATAAACAAATTAAACATGACGCAGGTAACATCAAAATCAAGACTCGCGCACTTTTGTTCAACTGGTATTAAAGTTAAGAAATAAAATCGATAAAGCCTTGTGTACCTAACAGGATACAGTACAGAGAAGAGTTGTATTCGGTGGTTCAGCAAATACACCACTGCGCACAACAGCAGATAGTCATTGAATATGTAGTAGAATTAGAGTATCACCGTACGCAAGATTCAAATTTTTTGGTGGTACATTTTTTGTACTGCCACCCCTGAAAGAGTTAAAAGGCTTCTTCCACATGTCTGCAACATCAAACGTCAGTGATTCTAATCTAGAGATTTCATCTCATCCATTTTGAATTTGTAGTTTAGTATGTAGCCTTAACTGCCAACTCTTTATAACTACTAGTGATGCATATCATACAGTTTCCTTGGTAATGTGATCAAAAATGTGTTAAATGAATATCGTTTCAAAAAGTTGATTTGGTATTTTACCACCAAGTGATAGTTTTATCTTCTTATACCTTGTAGATACGTCTTTGTCTTCAAGTCGATGTTTTGTGTAAAATGGAGTCACTTTTCATCAAGTAGATGTGATGTTTTGGTTGTTTTGAAAATTTGTCTTCCACAATCCCTACTGATTGATATGAATGAAGTATACTCTAACACGAGCCTATTACTTTAGATTTATCAGGGTAGATATCGAAATTTTAGTTAATGCTTTCGTATTTTCGATACCTAAACCCAATTTGAAAACCAAACCCATAATTTTCCGACTCACATCTATGAATTGTTTTCTCATGATAAGTAAAGAAAAGGTAGCCCAATAGCAACTAGTATGGTTTTTGAGAGGAAAAGGAGAGAAAACCGAAATAGATGTGTTTTATAATTATGAAAAGAGGTTGGTTAAGTCTTCTTTAAACAAAAATTTTTTAATGTTTCAGTACTTCGTTGTCGACAAAATTAAAAAAACTCTTGTTGTACTCCAAACTAAACCTGCGCGTTTCATATCGATGCATGTTTATATATGAAACACATCTTAAACGTACTATTCGATGCCACATAACATGTAGTGACTTGTCGCGTAGAACAGTTCATTATGGAGCCAACCACGTGTATACTAGTAGTACGGCAGTAACCGTTTATTGTATTGCTTCCTAAAATCTTTTCATGACGTTCACCACTCCCTTTGGACTTGAAAAACCCATCGCGGAAGCAAGAAAATGTTGGTAAACACTTACCTCACCATCTTCAGTAGTTTTCTTTCCTCGTGCGACCTTGAACTGGTTCTGATCCTTTCTCTCGATCTCTTTCCACTCTTGAAATTTCTTGTTATTTTCAAATAAAAAATACTCCTCTTCAATAACAATATTATGTTGCGATTGATAATGTTGGATCATCTCCTTACACGAAGTACATGAAAAAAGACACGGCGGCCGACGGAGGATGCATTATCGAAACATGCTTTTTCAAGGTATCCGCGCGCGATGTCGAAAAATCACAAGAACTGCACGAGTATGTTCTTGTATTATCAGCACTGTTGTGAGCAGACTTTAAATGCCTACTCAAAATTTTATTTAATGTAAAAGTTTTATCAAAAATTTAACAACAAAACATTTTTATTGGTGTTCGAAGTCGATAAAGTAATACAATAAAAACGACAATATGTATGATGTATGATCGGCGCTCTTCGGCTCTGTTCGTGGCTCCGCACGGGGCGCGCTCGAGACACAAGTGTATACTAGAATTATTGATGCAATCTTTTCAATTAGATGTAAAGAAGCTGGGGGGGGGGGAGTCCGGGCACCAAGGGCTACAGAACACAACTAATTTTCATGTATATATCAGATCAATGTGCTTTGTTTTTTTAACCGTTCGAAGTAGCAACTAATCTTTTTTCTTCAGCTGGAATACCACAAAGTACCTTACGAACTTAAATGCATAGAAGTGTGGGGATGCGGTGATTCTACCAGTCGCGAAGTTCAGTTGGAGATAAAAAAGTGGGAAATAAAGGAAGCTGAAAGACAACGTAACGTTAAATTAAGCGCAGCTGATTGGCTGGACCATCCGGATAGGTATTTACTCGAACTGGCCGGCAGACCGCAGTATAACGACCAGCAAAATCCTACTTGAACAGTTGCTATACATTTGTAGATCATTAATTTAATTTCTCTAAAGGGTTAGTCGTGGTATCTCTTATTTAAGTGATTATAAAAACAATTTTGCTATTTTATTTTCTGTTTATTTGAACGCAATCGTTAATGATTAGTATAATTAAATTGTTGGTATTATACTTAGTAAATTAATTAGACCAAATGAAATTTAGCCTTGCATTTCCTGGGATTGCAGCATGCATGAATGTATGCTTAATCCATGTCAATATTGCATCTGGTAATAATTGACAAATTTTATTAACCTTTACGTGTAAATATTGTTATATCCTGATTTTAATTTAATTTCCCAATTTTCCAATAGATTTCTACTCAAACAACTCAATTCTTGTGTCATTATATAGTAAAATATACTAAACAGTATAATTTTAAATAGTATGGATATTAATCTTTAATCGCTTTGTAAAATCTGACGGTGCCTATTGATTACACATACATTTGTATAAAATTTGAAATGGACTTACACTGAAAGTATTTTTTGGATAGCATGTATGGTAAATCCAAGTAGAAATAAGACAGTTTAGAAAAAGTTATAATTGAAATTATGGGTAGTGTTAAGTAAAATAATTTTTAGTTCTTACCTTAAAGATTGTTAATGACTGAATCAGACAACATACATAGGTATACAAGCTTAAATCCGCTTTAAGTTTTTTTTTTTAAGAAAAACACCTTTTTTTATAAAAAGCAAAACCAAATTTATTCAAAATACTATCCAGTGCTTGCGATACATTTCTTCCATCTTTCGGGTAATTTCTAGATTCCACGCCATAAAAAATTTTTCTTTCGAGGCAAACCATATATCCAAGCCATTTTCGGACGTCGAAGTGCTGCTCAGCGTGCGAGTGGCCTATCGAGGCAAACAAATGATAGTCGGTAGGGACTAGGTCTGGTGAATAAGCGGGGTGGCCTAGAACCTCCCAGTTAAGCGTCTTTAAGTAGTTTTGGACTTTTTTTGACGTGTGGGTCGGAGTATTGTCATGGAGGAAAATCAGCTGTTCATGTCTTTGCTCGTGTTCGGGTCTTTTCTCAGGCAATTTGATCAGTTGGTGGTAACGGTGGGCATCGTCAGTTTCACTAGGTTTCAACAGTCCATAGTAGATGATACCCCGCTGATCCCACCAAACGCACAGCATCGTCTTCCGTCCGAAGCGATTTGGTCCACCCACGATTTTCTTCATTTAATATTCTCAAAAATACAATTTTCATCGCCAGTCACAATCCGATGCAAAAACATCTTTCTTTTTTATCAGGCAAGTAAGATTTCGCATGTGTTTTGGCATCGCTCCATCTGCCTATCGTTGAATTCATGCGGCACCATTTTTCAATCCTTTGAGCCTTACCCATAGCATGTAGACGCATGGAAATGGCTTGTTGACAAACATCTACTTGCTCGGCAAACATTTTCTGCAAAAGAGCCTTCAGTTCATGGTCCTTAAATTTCCTGGGCCGATTTTGACGCTCCTTGTCACTCAAATCGAAATTACTATCTTTGAATTGACGAAACCAATCGCGGCACGTTGTTTTCGATAAAGCATTGTCACCGATTTCTTCAAATTGAAGCAGAAAAGTAGAGCTTCCCGCAGAGGCTTTTGTCTCGCACAAGACATGATTACTATAAAAGTATGTTTTTGTATAAAATTGATGATGATGTGAACTGACTATTGTTGACAGATGTCGTACTCATAAAAGAAAATATGGCGTGTACATATCAGCTTGATATGCTCACTGACGCCATCTATGAGCAAACAGCGGATTTAAGCTTGAACCACAACATCTCATAAATATGATAATCAGTATTGATTTGAGTTTTTTTTATGCTGGTTTAAAATGATATATTATAGACAAAAAAAGATATTTTTTCAGTGCCTTATAAAACCAAACTATTTTCGGGGCTGTTTGCATAAATGCACATTCACTCAAATTTTATACTAAAATGATATCATTATTTTAATGTAAGCTAACTAATGTTTTCAATGTAAACATTCCCATTGCCATGTATTCTGTGTGATTCTTAGTACTTAGTAAATTGTTGCGGTATTAATGTTGAGCCGGACAGTTAAGCATTTTATTGTTGTATAATATGTATTCCTTAAGTATTTTATTGTACTTATTGCTTACGTTAGCTGAGAGTTTGAATATGTTTTTTTTGTACTTAAGTGTTATTGAATACTATCTACTTTATTTATCTCCCGCAGTGTTGAAACTATTGAACAGGTGCCCATAATATGAATGCTGGCCTAAATAGTTTTGCCAAATTTCGGACAATAAATCGTTGATAACCAAATAACATATTTGTATTTATTGGATACACAAGTGCTACCCTTGATTACTTGTGTTTTTTGACTTGTTCTTCAAAAGTATTTTAGCATAATCCTACAGGACTTAATAAATGGAATGGACACAGAAACATGGTACCATTAATGGAACTTTTTTACTGAAATACAATAAGGAAGCAAATTCATAGCCTTGTTATGGGTAGCTGTGATGTGGTGCCGCGAGTTCAGAGATCTGCCGAAAACGACGCCCAGGTAAGTGACGGAGTTACGAGTTACTCCATTTGATGTGGTGGTTGTTTACGATGATAAAGGTAGGTTTTCAGGACCTACGTGAGAAGAAAATCGTTTCCGATTTGGTCTCTTTAATGCAAAGTTTCCATTTCCGATTTCCTGTTTTTCCTCTTAAGGAGGGCATGAATCTGCGTGGGGTGAGAGGTAGTGGAAAGCTCGGTTGCGCTGGTAATCTTGTTTGAAAGGAAATTCACATTCACGGTTCTTTCTGTAGGATTTGAAGTTTGAGACGAAAAGTTCTATTTTCTCTGACAAATGAGCAGGCAACATCGACTAACTTATCCTGGTGTGTTCGAGTTCAGTCAATTTACCTCTAATGCTTTGACATTAGACGACGCCTAGGTAAGTGACGGAGTTGTCCCATTTGAGGTTCAGTTAGGCTTTTACATCGGCGGTGGCAAACTCCACGGAGGACGGCATGGAGGTCACGGTCTTGTTTTAGTTGGTTTGTAGTAAATTCAACTTTGGATTCGTCGAGGAACGACGGGAGTAGACGAAAATCGTCCACGAAGTTGGGGTAGACTTGTAGAGTCTTTGGTGTTACGTGTGGCGATACCGTGACTGTCCATGGCACGAAGAATTTTCGGCCAAATAGACTTTTGAATCCGGGTGATTAAAGATGGCACGACGTCTTCCCACATTGGGGATAATTGGGAACCTTCGTAATGTTGCAGTAGAATTAAACGGCTGGGTAATAGTATAATCCCTGTTGAATCCTAAGGTTGTTGGTCGTTCAACTGTGTAAACGGTGATACTGATAGTATATTTGTGCTGATATCTGTCGTCAGCTGGCAGGTCGCAGTTGCGGTGGAAACGAAGGTACGTCTCGGTATTTCTGCACGGATTTTTTTTGTTTAGTTTATCCTCGAGGAGGGGAAATCTTCAAAAGATACCCCCTGAAGGGGGGTTGTGTTGTATTCGCCGTAGCGCCTACCGACTAAAACCCCTCTTGGAGTTGGAACCCGAAAGATGTTACTCCCAAGGGAAAATTTTGGCTAGATTGGGGAGAGGGAGATGTAGATGTGGGGATGGGAGTGCTCGGGATTGTCTGAGGGGAAGAACTGACTCTCTTATATACCCTGGCGGTACCGATCGGTCGATGCTTCCAGTTATGTAAGCGGGTTTCTATATTTCCATGCCATGCCAAACATAACATTAATATATCAAGTAATTCAACGCTGCAATATGGATAGCATTAATCATCTTTTTTTCTGAAGGTATGTTTCATGCAAAATAACAAATTAATATACAGTTCTTTATTAAAAATGACGAATATGTATTTTTATAAACATACAGAATACAATAAGGCACAGTAGATACTAAAAATCATACTTTGAAAAATATTCCACTTAGTAATACGGATGTTTGTCACAATCCCTACAATAGGTAACAACCTTTTTTACTTTATTCTTGGTAATCCCGCTCCTTATCTTTTTTTACAGTATTTGCAAACTTTATGAGCAAGACCTTCTCGTTTAACAAAAGAATGTATGTTAAACATACAGTTGCACAGAATTAACCAACTTTTTATTTGAAACGACACACAGCAAAACTTTTGATTTGTGTAGCTGCGCACCACCCCACTGAAAGAGCAAGATGTAAACAATGAAGTGAATTCTTCCAATTACTAAAATCAAACTAGTAAGCAAACGATTCGTGCTTCTCATTTATCATTACATACCTACCCACATATAGTTTACAGTAAGACATTCTCATCATTTTCAATTACTAATTTTTGAAAGCGCACTTCCTGTCGTGTAAAAAACATATTTCCTGAGTAGTCGAACCACTTAGGGATGCCCATAACTTGAATATTTTAATTAAAAAGCTAAAATTTAAAGCAGAACAAGTATTTTGACAAATCCAAATAATGTGCTGGGAACAACGCGGTTATGTGTTTGGAGCATCTGACCTGGAATCTCAGGCTTGTTTTTACGAACTGTGCCCCGTGCATGTCAAACGATATTCTTTCAGTAAGTGTAACATCAACGCATAACTATTGGTTTTAGAAATGGGAGTCCGTATAGAACATCAAAGCTTTATAACTGGAAGCGTACGGATCTGTTGGCTGTTTTCCCGGGTAAATTTCAAGTTTAAGTTGGATAACGTAAAATGAGTTCTCGTCAACCAAGTAATATATTTTCTAACCGTTCTCTATATATACTTCAAATTTGGCTTATTTAATCTAAAATGCCGATGGAACCGTTGATCCGGAATCACCCTCCGAAAAATGCTATCCGCAAGTTATGATGCCAAATCTTTCTTCACCAGTTCGACCCTGGGCACATTCCTACGCACTTCCACCCACGAACGTTCAATGTTTTGTGTGTGCGCACCAGTACGTGCGTCAACGAAATTAAGTCCGTGGTTGACGGTGGGATGGCGGTAGTCATGTTCACTCAACAAATTATAACTACGCCAACAATCAGTTATTGTTAATTGTCGAAGCAGGCAACACTATTCACAATGACGTTAATTAAAGTTTCCGCACTTCGGTCCGGCACTGGGACTAGGAAAATTTTCCCGGTATTTGATCCGCGTACACCTCGTTCTGTTTCGCTGAGTACCCATTGTCTGAAAAGAAGACGACCCCGGTTGTACTTCCGCTTTCCCAACTTCGTCTCGCCAATAATCCCCGGTCCACCTAATTTTTATACCCAGTCGATCAAAACCTCTCTTATAAACAAGAACCAATCCACCATAGTTCTCGATAAAAGGCCATTTTCTCGATGGGCATAATCGACTCGGGGGACATTTCGAGAAAAGTTGTTGGTTTTTGTTGTTAATAATAATAAGAAATAATAGTCCGACAAATAAAAACAGTATAATAATCACACTAATACACCAGACAAAACACATAAAACGAATTATAAAAGAAGCTCACACCACAAAATTAAAACAAACAATAAATATAAATAAATAGTCAATAGCATGTATAACAGAAAGGAAGATCAAGATTTCCTACCCTAACATGATACAAAATTTCCGTTTATATACTGTACTTGCTCCAATTCT